CTTTGTCTTGATTTTAGAAGGAAAGCATCCAGTCTTTTACCACTGAGTATGGTATCAGCTGTGGGCTTTCCATCAATGCCCTTTATTAGGTTGAGAAAGTTTTCTGCTATTACTACTTTCCTGAGTGTTTTATCACGTGATAGTTTTAGATTTTTTCCAAATGCTTTTTCTGCATCTATTGAGATAATTATATATTTAAAATTCTATTGATATGATATAGCATATTAATTTATTTTCAGATTTTAAACCCACCTTGCATCTCTGGGGAAAATCCCACTTGCACATGGTAAGTATTTCATATATGTTGCTGGATTTGGTTTGATAGTATTTTGGGAAGATTTTTGCACCTATATTCATGATAGATTTTGGTCTGAAGTTTTATTTTCTTGTGATGTCTCCATCTGGCTTTGGTGTCAGGGTAATTCTGGCCCTTATGCAATGAGTTGGGAAGTGTTCCATTCTTTTCTGCATTGTGGAGGAGTTTGCAAAAAATTGGTATTAATTCTTCTTTAAATGTTTTGATGGAATGTACCAGTTAAGCCATCTGGGCCTGGGCTTTTCTTTGTGGATAGTTTTTAATTTTGAATTCAATCTCTTCACTTGTCAAAGGTCTATTCAGACTGTCTATTTCTTCTTGACTCAATTTCATCATTTTGTATCTTTCTAGAAATTTGTCCATTTCATGTTATCCAATTTGTTGCCATGTAATTGTTTATAGTAGTCCTTCATAGGATTGATAGGAATGTCCCCTCTTTCATTTCTGATTTAGTAATTTGAGTTTCTACTGTTTCAAAATGTTAATTTACTGAGAAGTTTGTCAATTTTGTTGATCTAAAAAAAACAGCTTTTTTTGTTTGGTTGATTTTCTCAAATTGCTTATATATTACCTATTTCAGTTACTTCCACTGCAGTTTTTATTGTTTCCTTCTTTCTGCTTGCTTTATGTTTAATTTGCTCTTTTCTCTTCTGGTATCTTAAGGTGAAGGTTAGGTTATTGATTTGAGATCCTTTATCTTGTTTAATATAGACATTTTTATAGCTATAAGTTTCCCTTTGAACACTGCCTGCACTGCATCTATAAATTCTTGTATGCTTTGTTTCCATTTTCACTCATTTGTATTTTCTGATTTCCCTTGTGATTTCCTCTTTGATCCTCTGGTTGTTTAAGAGTACGGTATTTAATCTCCACATTTTGTAAAATTTCCTTCTGGTATTGATTTCTAACTTTATTTCTCTGTTATCAGAGAAGATATTTTGTATGATTTTAATTGTTTTAAATTATTGAGACTTGAGCTCTGGCCTAACATATCATCCATCCTCGACAATGGTCCATACGCACCTGGGAAGAATATGTATTCTGCTGCTGTTGAGCAGAGTGTTATTAATTCTTCTTTGAATGTTTTATATATTAAGTCTAGGTAGTTTATGGTGCTGTCCAAGTCTTCTTTTCTTTATTGATACTGACGTCTAGTTGTTCTACTTATTACTGAATGTGAGGTATTGAAACTTCCAACTATTATTATTCAGTTGTTCTTTCCTCCCTTTATTTTTGTCAGTTTTTGCTTTGTGCATTTTGGGGCCAGTTGTCAGGTTCATAATTGTTATATTTTTCTGGTAGATTGACCCTTTTATCACTATAAAATGTCCCTCTCTATCCCTAGAAACATTTTTTTATGGTAAAGTCTGTTTTCCCAGATATTAACATAGTCACTCTTCGGCTTTCTTATAGTTGCTGTTGGCAACCATATATATATGATATATGTATAATATAGATATTCTATCTTTTTACTTGCAATCTATTTGCATCTTTAAATCTAAAGTGTGTCTCTTATAGAGAGCATATAGTTGGATCTTATTTCTTTATCTGGTGTGATAAACTCCGCCATTTGATTAGATCGTTTGAGCCATTCACATTTAATATTAGTAGTGTAATTGAACTTACAGTTGCCATTTTACTTTTTGTTTTCTACATGCCTCATGTCTTTTTGGTTCCTCTAATGCTCCTCAGTGCCCCTTTTTTTTTTTTTGCATTAGTGAAAAAATTTTAATGTACCATTTTGATTTCTTTCATAATTTTTTACTACTTTTAAAAGATTATTTCCCTAGTGGTTGCTATAGGACATATCATATACTAAATTTACCATAATCTGCTTCTACTAACTTAGTTCCAGTGAGACAGTAAAACATACTCTTACATAACTCTATTCCCTGCCCCTGTCTTTGTGGTATTATTGCTATACATATTACATCTGTATGGGTTACCAACCCCAAAACATACTGTTGTAATTACTATTTTATATAATTTAGTGTCTCCTAAAGAAGCTGAGAGAAGAAAACAGAGCAAATACATTTGTAGTATTTGTTATTGTAACCTCTCATTTGTCATTTCTGCTTCTCTCCTTTCATTGGTGTGAATTGGAGGTACTACCTGGTGTCATTTCCTTAGCCTAATACAGCTTTTCCCCCACCCAACTGCTGTTATTGACAAATATATTTCTATATCTTATAGGTCTAACAATATAACTATATACATATTGTTTTATACAGTTACTTTTAAATCAGTTAAGAGAATAAATATAATTACATAATTACATTTACTGGCACTCTTTTTTTTTTTTTTGTATTGTTGATTTAAACAACTGCCTGGTGCCATTTCTGTTCAGCCTGAAAAACTTCCTTTAGTATTTCTTGTAAGGCACATATATAGCAATAAATCCTTTCAGTTTTTGTATATGTGGGAATGTCTTTATTTTGCCTTCATTTTTGAAAAATAGCTTTTCTTTGAACACTTTCAATATATTTCCTGCTACTTTCTGGCTTACCTGGTTGAGTTGACTTTCACTCTTATGCCCCTCAGATGTAGTCACAGTGCTGATAGAGTGATATTTTTATAACACAATCTTATTGGGTCTTTTCTTTAAGACATTTAATGATATCCCTCATCTCTAGAGAATAAGACCTATGATCTTCCTATCAAAACAAAGATCCTCCATGATCTCCACCCTGCTTGTCCTTGGGCCACATCTCCCATCCCAGCGCATGTTCTAGGCTTAGTGAACCTCTTCAGGTTTTCCCCCTGCACACATGCCCTTTCATACATCAGTGCTTTTGCTTCACCTGCTTTCTCTGCCTGGAAACCACCCCCGCCCCTCCCGCCTCCTGACCGGGAAACTCCTACTCAACTATCAAGATGAAGCTCAGGCGTTGCTTCCCCTAAGAATTCTTTCTTGGCTATTTCCTCTTCGCTTTGCCCCACTGATCCTTGTGCATTCTTCTACCAGGGCACTTTAATTGCTGTTAATTATTTATTGGTATATTTACTCTCAACTGTAAGGCTTGCTGAGGGCATTAATAGCACCTAACATGAAATGAGAAATTATATGACAGGCATTTCACATGTTTTTCATTTATCCCCACAACTCTATGAGGTAGGTATTATTTCTACCTTCATGTTGAAGATGATGAAACAGAGACAGAAAGGTGATCCAGGGTTCCAGGTGATTGCTTGCTCTTAGAGTTGAGATTAACACTCTCTTATTCCCTCCCACTCTCTTAAACAGCAAACTCTATGCCTCCCTTGGTGTCAGTTCCTAGTACAGAGCCTGACATAATTATGCCCAATATATGTAGGTTAAACATGGTTGCTTGGCAATGCATTTTTTAAAATTTAAGATCAAAAGACAAGATTTTGACCTCTATTCATCTTTCTTATTTTTGTAATTTCTCTGTGGTGACTAACTATAAAATCCTTAAATAAAAAGATCCATTTCCAGTATTCCTGGAGCACTCAGGAAGGAGAGAATGTGGAAAACTGTGTTCTACTTTGCATCAATTATGCCTTCAGCCTGTCTGTATAGAAACAGTGGTTTAGAGCTGGAAAAGGGAGACGTGCAGATTTGCAAATCGCTTTACACAAAATTTAGAAAACAGACCATCTCAAAGAATGATGGAGTTGATGCACCCCTAGAAACTCTTCGGGTGTCCTCGGCTCTGCTACTGGTAGGCGAGGGAGAACATCTACAGGAGAAATTAGCCGTAGGTGGTGGAAGTAATGTAAAGAAAAACAACAAACAAAAAAAACTGGCTGAATCATTGGGGCCTGCTAGAAAGCGGAAAGGAAGGAATAAAAGTAAATGAACATGTGGGGAAGGAGCCTTGTTGGTAAATAAAAACCCTTGGACCAAAGTGTGCCCTCCTGCTTCCAACCGAACCCTAAGCATAGCCACCTGCTTAGAATATACGTTTGCTTCTCTCTTTTGAAGCTGAGAGGGGAAAAGCAATGCCAAAGTGAGAACTGGGAATAGAGGGGAGGTGTGCAGAAGCAGCGCTTGGTGAAAAGCTGTATTCATCATTCAACAGGAATCAATTACGGATAGAAACTCAGTAGGTGAAAGCAGGTGTGACCCTGCGTGTGCAGTGACTGGCTGACATATGACACCTTATTAAGCTCTGCTTATAATAACCTCCTGCAAGACAGGCATGGGAATGAGTAATAATTCATTCTGGATAAAAAGAATCTTCGTGTTCTAGGTTGGCTAAAAAACTTAGGAAGAGGACCTTTTCCTTTTAGCAGAACTTTCCTTCAAAGAGCCCCACAGCCATGCCCATTTTGTACAAAATCGCAGAGCATTCTGAAATGCATTGGTACTCACACAACAGGGAGCCAGTTCTCCCCTCAGGCATTCCCAGTGGGTAGTTATGTATTTGGGGAGGCTGCATCCACTCTTTTAGGTCACTGGGGGTCCAGTTAATGAGTGCATTGGAAGATCAGGATGTTTGGTGTCCTAGAGACCAAAGAATGGTATCATCGAATTAATGTTTCACTTATCATTTGGATGGCTCCATATCTTGAAGACAGTGTCAACCATCAGTAAATGGCACCCTGGTGACCAAGAAGAGTCAATGGGCCTATTGCAAACTTGCCTTGCAACTATGTCTGCAAAATACTTTTTTCCTTCCCATTGAATACATCTGGACAGTCAAAAGGAGAAGAACCATACCTGTAGTATTCATCTCCCACAAAGAAAAGGGTCTTCTGCGCATCCTTGAGATAGACGGCAGCATCTATTCGCTGCACATACCTTGGAAACCCAAAGTCATAAATAGTCCGAGGAGGACCTTGTATTTGGAATCCTCTTGTTATCCAGTAGTGGGGGCCTGAAAACAGAAATTAAGGTTTACAAAAACTCTGTACCACTTAGTGCTGCACTTTGTTCACGAGGATTTCTATGCCGGATCCTAAATGGGACTAGTTTCTGGGATACTGGCCATGGCTGTAATCCAATGGGAGATAAAGCCTCTAATAGTCAATTCAATAAAAGGCTTAAAATTTGCCCTGGAGGCATTTCCCAACCACAAATAAAACAAAGGTAAAATAAAATACCCTGGCATAGCAACAAAGGTACTATTCTCCTCACCTTGGTTTCCATGTTGTCTTTTGCTAATTAGGGACTCTCAGGGGGGTATGCCATGCCTCTCTGAGTGGAGGTGCTAGGGGACAGGATCCAAGTTTCTAGCTCCATAACACTGTCTCCTAGCATGAAGCCTCAGTAAAGGGTCAGATCTGAGGACAGTTTGATAGTCATTATCAATTTTGTCATTGTTACAACAAAATGGGGCAGAATTTCATACCCCACCTGAGGAGAAGGAATGACCAAAACATGCTCCATGATCACTGAACAGACACTGATAGTGCCACATGTTCCAAACACGCCGGGCACTGCGGCCTGCTATTTCTCCCTTCGGGGAATCTGTAGCTACCTTTAAAGAAGTACGCGGTGCCCCTCTCAGCCACTTCGTAAGCCGCATCCACGTTGGACATAAGCTGGGGGAAGGAGCTGGTGATGGTGCTGGGCCTGATCCCTGCCATCAAGTGGACCTGCCGACGCCAGAAAATCCTATTGGGCAATCCAGAAGAAACCAAGGTCAAGGGTTAATTTCATCCTAAATTGAATGGAAATGTACTGCAAGCCACGCTTCAGAGGCCATGCTAATAGCCTCTTGGCCTTGCCTTGTTTTTAAGGGGAATATACATTTTTTTACCTTGGTAAACAGTTTCTTCTCCCTTTCCATTCTCTTAGCATCTCTACAACCCCCTTTCTTTCATTTATTTAAGGGTGGTCAAAATACTGAAGGACATAGCAAGGAAATGACATCAATTATTTACACATTTAAGCTATGCACCTTCCTATTTGAAACACCATTTGATACAAATTTCCTTTTCCCACTCTGATCTTTTAAAAATTAAAGTTTCACAAAGATAAATATGATCCAGGTGAGTACTATGAACATTATATAAATGAACCCAAACTTTGTGGTTGGAAGATGCTAATTATTCCCAGTAAAAACAGCAAAAATGTTAATTATAAATGATCATGTTGTTTATATATTTATCTATTGAAAGCATTTGTATTTTTTACCTTGATGGCTAATTAACAGAAAACCTGGCAACACACAAATTAACTTAAAGTTTAGCAACTCATGCATCCACTTACCCAATATTATTTCCATAAAATTATGGCAGTATACATGAGGCTTGTGGGTTCAAACTTTCATTGTAAATGTGGTCCATTTTGATCTTTCAGATAAAATTACTTTTATAAAATATGAATAGTTGACTTCATAGAAGCTAGAGTCAATACAGAAAATCATTTGTGGACAGGGAAACTATAATAAAATTTTGACATTAAACTTTCCATGTAGTGACTTAAAGAACTCAAATCTTATCTTGGGTTTTCCTACTCAGTTTAACAGATATTTATGGAACGTCAAAGATGAGACATTGAATGAGACACAGGCCCTGCCCTCAAAGAGCTTGCAGTTTGTAGTAGACAGATAAGTAATTAGGACATTCTAATTCAGAGTAATCAGTTCTACAAAGCATTAGGTTCAGGATGCTCTAGGAACACACAGAAGGGCTACCCTATTGCATGTAGGGGTTTGGTGAAGTCATCCCAGATGAGGCAATTTACGCTGTTGATGAAATCTAAAAGAGAGCTATTCTGGGGAGAGAGAAAATTTCTTTGTGTTTCCTAAGTGGCATCATGATGCAGAAGGAAAAGCACGTTGTGTTTCAGAAGGTGTAGGCTAGAGTTCCAACTGACCGATGTCTCCAAGCATCAGTTTCATCTTCTCTTAAATGCAAGTAGTACCTGGCCTAAACCATGAGATTACTGAGGATCAAATGAGATAATGCATGGGAAAGTGCATTAGAAACATATTATATTTTATAATTATAAAAGTTATTATTTGCATAGGCCTTAACTACCCACTAACTGGGCACCCACCGTAGGCCATACACAGGTGGCAGGAGTCCAGTTAGGGTGTCCTGCCTCTCCTCGGGCCCTACACATCACAGCCTTATCTAGAACATATGCCTTACCCCATGAAAAACTGAGACTCAGAGGGCTGCTGGGGCCAGAGTTCAGCTGGCGGTTACAGGGAGACAGGCCGAATTAGGCTCCAGCCGTCCTGATTTTTACCACATACCGTCTCTCACCTACTTGTTCATTGTCAGCCTGCGATCTTTGTTTTTATTTTGTTTATATCCTGACCCTTTGTCCAGTCAGGCCCAGCTTTCTCTGAAGGCAAGAGGGACTGCTTTCTCTTCTCCTTTTTCTCCACCACCACTAAATGAGCCCAGGTTTGGGTATCCAGAAGAAATGTCTGGTGACAATTTTGGTGTTTCAACCGGAGCTGGGCAGTGCTATTGAATCTAATGGAAGCCAGGGATGCCCCTAAACCTCCTACAATGCACAGGAAAGCCCAACACAACAAAATATCAGTAGTACTGAAGTTGAGAAGCCCTGGTTTAAACACTGTGATGACATATTATAATGTATACACTGTATGCATAAGATAGAAATAAACTACCCATCACTTATATAAAGTATCACAAATCCCAAAGGAATTCATAGTCATGAAAATTTTTAGTACACTGTGAGGAAACAATATGTCCAGTAGTTAATAAAGCAACAGAACACATACTCGGAGGATTTACAACCTTAGAACTACAGATTACAATAATAAATTAATTAAAATTGACAAAAAACTGTTAGGTAAGTAACCTTCTAGTAACACATGTAAATGGATTTAAAATATAAGCTGCCCCGCAAAAATCTGTGAGCCTGTTGGAAAAGAACAGCTGCAGGATGTGTGGAAACTGGTAATGAAAACAGATAAACAGATCATATCACTGGCCTGTAATCTGGTCTTTGATAAAGAAGACAAAACAATGGAATTTATTGATATTGTGGACCTGCAGATTAGATATTTAGCTGCACCCTTTATCTTTGTGTTCTCAGGAGCCGACACTGTACCTGGCACATAGTCAGGACTCAATAAATATTTGCTGGCAAAATAAATGAGTGCCAGAGGGTTGAGTGGGATTTATTTGTTCATTGATTTTCATAGTCTCTGAAATTTTCATTCCCTTTTACTAAAGAATAGCAACTAATTCATCAAGTTTGAGCTTCGATCACTGGTAACCTTCACCTGGGCCTCTCAGCTCTCTGCCAGTCCCGTGAGCTCCTCAGGGGCAGGGCCATGCATTAGTCACCTTTGAAAGCTCAGTCTAGCAGAGTGCCTGGCACATCTCGGGACTTGATCCATGTTTGTCAAACCTCTGTTCTTTTTGTTGTTGATGTTACACCCAACCGTCTTTACCCCCACCTCCCTCAGCCGATGCCATCAGTCCTTCATTTTCAGAAGAGGCCTTCGCCTCTGATTTGCTGGACTGTCAAGGTAGTTCAACAGGAGCTGAATGGGCACCCTGATTTGTCCATCTTCTTCAACCCTTCGCTCCCCTTTACTCTGTTCTTCCCTGTCATCCCGCTCCCCAGTTTCAGGGGGAAGAGGTGTCTTTTTTCTATCTTTTTGATGCTCACAACTGAACTGCTGCTTCCCTGCCCCGAGGTTGGGCAACGTGGTGCAGTGACTGGAGCAAGGGATGCTTGAAACCTTCTTTTGTCAAAGGATATGTGACCTCATGTGAGTCACTTAATTTTTCGGAGGCTCAAGTACCTTCTGTCAAATAAGAGCGAGAACAATAATAATATCTGTGCTAATACTGGAAAGGATCAACTGAGTTAATGCATCTGAAAGCATTTTATAAACTCTGGACTAGTCTTACAATTAAATTGTAGATACTTTATAACTTTATCAATTGATGACATATAAAAGTTAAACTTAGATTTATCAATAGAGCCAAGTTTCTTTCTAAGTTTACTCCCTGATATAAAATATTTCTGTCACATCGTTGGCCGAGCAGCCGTTCATTTTGAGGGGTTCACTAACCAGGTATGCTTTTATCAGAATGCTTTAGAGGCCAGGAAATCAACCATGCACCATCTCACAAGCCCAAGCAAAATACAGCTCATAAAACTGAAAACTCATGTTGAGACAGTGCTGTGGGTTAAAAATAGTAGAAGCTGTGCAGAGTGCACTTAAATTACCTGTCTATAACCATCTGAGGAAACGATGGGGAACCATACTTATAAGTCACAACCTGTGAAGATGGAAAGCACCCCCTTCCCGGCCAGAAGGAGGGAGCTCAGAAGATATAATGAGTCAGGAATCTAAGTATATCTTCTGCCTCTTTGCCTGAATTCTTAATACATAACAGAATAGGACTAAGTCATTACAGTGCTGTTTGTTGACTTTCAATGATGCAACATTATAGAAAAGGCACATCTCCAGGGAGACTATGAAGGAGGGTGACTTCCTCTCCAGTCGTGCAGGTTTTCCTCGAGCCCATGGAAACTCCGGGAAATGTTAGATTCCAAACATACTATCTAACAGGAGTGATTTCTGAGTTTATTGTCCCTCCTCCCCACAGTGCGTTGCATTTCTTTTTCTCTACTGGCTCTTTTTCATGTCCCCAAATATGTCCAGGTATTTTCCATCTTGATAAATCATTATTTGACCCTCCTGCTTCTTCCAGCTATTGATTTACCTCCCTTTGTTATCACAAGATTCTCACATTAGCTCCCACCAATGTTCTTTCATGCCACATAATCTGGTTTCCTTCCTCACTACTCCATAGGAACGACATTCCTTAATTATCCTGGCCAGTCAGTCCCTCTTCTTCGGTTCTCAATCTGGTCACCTCGGGCAGCATTTCCACTGTTGTCCACTTAAAAAAAAAAAAAAAAAAAGCCTCTTTTCTCTGATTTATTTGGGACTCCACTATAGGGCTTCTGCCTCTGATGTCAAGTAGACCTAGGTTAAAATTCCAGCCAGAGATAATAACAGTGTGGATTAAATGAGTAGGCATCTGTAAAATGCTTAGCATAACACACAGCACACTGTAAATGATCATAAAATGTCAGTTAGTATTATTATTAGTGGGGTTTATTTTCACATCGTGAACTGTCGTTTCCATGTGGGAGATTCTACAATCCTTGAAACCTTCGACTCTCCTCTGAGCACTAGCTTATTTCTATAAAATCCCACTAGAATTGTTATTCCTTGAAATTCAACACATCCAACACTGAGTTTTTCTTCATGTACCCAACAAATCTTGATTTTCCTAGTTATGTGAATTACGCTGCTACTTTTGACTCTTTCCCCCCCATTGTTCTTGCTGAATTACTGCCCAAGGCCTGGGGGTGCCTCCCTCAGACAGCCTGCTTCATTCACCCTTCTCTTCAGTTCCCTTGGGGTCTTGCCTACCCTTAAAAATGTCTTTCTGTGCATTCTAATCTAAGACACATAACATCTTTCAAAGTGTGACAGGAGTGACTGACATGTTTTTGTAATAAATAATGCTATTTTGAGAATAAGACAGAATGTGGAGAAGCCTATCAAACACTTTTGGGAAACTTAGTCTAAGAACATTGTCCTTCTGTGGCTGTTTAGCCCACCGTCTGGCAAGGGCCCAGGAGCCCAGGAGCAGCCCTGAGTGCTTTCCTACTAACTCAAGGGCATGCAGGCAAAAGGCCTAAATTCATCCAAGTCATTAAGTGCTTCTGTCGGTAGTTCCCTTGCATAATCAGAAGCTTTTCTATATGAGCCAGTGACAGGATTGACTCAGGACGGGGAGTCAAAAGACCATAGTTACCGTGGAGGGTCTGCTAGGGTGGGAGACCTGGAACTAGCTTTCTTACCTCTAAAACAAAGAGTTTGGACAGGATCAACCCTTATACTTATTCCATATGTAAAATGCTATCATTCTTCTAAGGTCTCTAGCTGATTGTGATATTCTTGATTTTGACCCTTAAACGGTAATGTGTAAAACTCAGAATAATCTGAAAGATGCAAATATCATTTTGGTATGGCTGTAATTCATTTACCTCTCCTCTTTCTTAAGTGCCTGAGGCAATCTGGGATAGTCTCAATATTTTGCCATCTATTATAAAGAATAAACATATAGGGTGTCCCCAAAAAGGTATGCACACACTTTGAATAATTATAAAGGCAGCATTTATTAAAATACATTCCATTTTCAAAACTGAGCTGTCAGCTGTTAAAGTGTGTATACATTTCGGGGGAGACACCCTGTGTCCCCACTGGATGGCGAGCTTCCTGGAGCAGAGCCAGCACCTCACCCCTGAGGCTTTCACGACCCTCCTCCTGGCCGGTCTTTACGCATCGTGTGCTCAGTAGAACAATCCTGGGGGGGGAGGGACTGAGAACAAGGCACAGGACACAGGTTTGTGCCCAGATGGCTCTTCTCTGCGCTCGCTCCCCAATCCCTTTACCCTGTGAGCAGCAGGACGCACTGCAGGAGGATGCCGCCG